GAGGACCAAACGCAATGCGTACCGAATGCCTCGGCGATCCAGCTTCCTGCGGCGCTATCGGCTAAGCCCATCGACTGGCTAACCATTCGCTGCAGGTCTCTGGCTGTTTAGCAGAGGGAGCGTTGGCACTGAGGAGGGAAAAGATCAGGGGAACGATCAGAACCGCATCAGTGTGGGACTAAACGATCAAGGAAGAGGCCCCTTTCTCGGGTTCTGGGCCGTTTTTCATGGTTTTTTCTCCATCTCGACACCAATGACCACCTCTGTCTTGGTTCTGACGGACGCGTCTTAATCGTAAACTCGGTCTTCAATATCGCTACTGCACCTGAAGTCTCGAACACGCATCTGAAGTCCTTAACACATGAAAAGTTCTATCTGAAGGTCTGTCTTTGGATTGAGTAGTAATATTCGGAGCCCGAGTCAGGTTCAAAAAGGTTGAAGCATGAGACAGGATGAAAAAAGCTTAGCAAATAGAGGTGATCCGTCATGGGAGTCCAGAAGTCAAGCATAATGGGCAAAGATCGAATTTGGCTAGGATTGTTGAAAGAGCTAGGAATCTCAGTGTGGGCAGAAGGGCGTCCTATAATGGATGATGCTCACTACAAAATTCATAGTGAAGTGCGAAGGTAGGCTAGAGAAAAGAAGAAGAATTTTGTGGAGGTGGGTAATGCCTAAGGTGCACTCGGAGTTCGTGGAATATGCGGCATTCACCAAAAGTGGCCCTCAGCTAGGAGCTACATACAGGGTGGCGAAAAATTACGTGCGCCACGAGAAGGATCCTGACTTTTTTTAATCATAAACAAGAAAGACAACACTGTTGTGACTCTGCTTCCAGAGCACCAGAGCTTTCTTGAAGACCTTTCATGATATATCTTCGCATTGATTTCCATGATTTTATCGATAAAAATCAATGGAGGGTTGCCCAAAGCACTGATACTGCTCCAAATCATCAAACTTTCAGCGAACGGAATTCTTGCAGGTATTTTCCAATTACAAATGTTCCCAAGAGTTGAGCAAAAAAGTTGATGGTGATTTAGGAGTTTTAAGCTGCTTAATGGGAGTATTTTTTTTTCGTCAAACAAACGACTTCCCATCGACTTGATGTCGAAACTAATTCAGATCTATATCAAAACTGACAGCGGCCACTTCGATACTTTTTTATAATTATTGAATGTTAGAGTTTGCTGTTTTATAAAATTAATTTCCTTCGAATTTTTATGGACCAAAAATGAAGTTGGGACTTTTTTTTATGGCGCACGTAATTTTTCGCCAGCCTGCACTTCGAAAGCTTGCAGTTCTTGTCCAGAATGCTCCATAGAATGAAAAAATGTGTAGTGGCCATATATACTGCTGCGCAACTGATTCTACTACCCACAAATTTCCCGGAAACTCGCATCTAAAGATATTTTCAAGAAGAGCTTCAGAGTGGAAATGCGTTGCACGTAAACACAATTTCTAATATCAAGACAACATTGCAAGTTGAAAAAGGAACGATTTTTTACGTTCACGAGTTTTAATAAAAATCGCTCTGCCTATACCGCAGAATCACAGTTCCACCACATGTCCTTTTGCCGCATTTTATTTTGCGCTACAAAATTTTGAAAGTTTTCCCATTTTGACTCCTCAAGCGCATTAAGATCAAAACCACTGTCAAGCTGTCAAAGAAGTCGCAAAATCCTTGCGAAAGAGGCACAGGAATTGTCAAGAATTTATCGAGGCCGGTCCGTCACTCAAATTTACTCAAAAGCTGCAGGACTGATGTTACAAGCAACTACGATCGCCATCCGACCGAGAGAAGTGTCGTATCAGACTAGCAAAAGGGGGACACCTTTTTGGCTACGATGTTTTGAAGCCCACTGACCTCCTTCTGATCTTTTCTTATACATGAGTTTAGCAAAGAGTAGAAGTGTTATGGGAAAAGAAAACGTTGAGAGAAAGAAGGATATACATCAAAACATAGCCAATGAAAAGCCTCCTCACTTCACTCGACTTGGCAACACTTTTCGAGAAAATTGGCTCGCATTTCCCTATAGTTTCCTTTCTCAATTAGTTCGTCCGACCCGCAACGCACACCTTCGTCCGCAAGCCCCACCCTCCGCTGTCGGTTGCCACGTGGCGCTGCTTGAAGCGCGGGCGCATTTGAGGCAGCGGTCCCATCGCGATCCAATGTCATTGGCACTGGAGCAACTAGAGTTAGGTTCGTGAAACTCGTCCAACGCGCCTCTTCTCTATCCCAAGGTGGAATGTGGCTGAAATAGGGAGGTCTCTGTACGGGGCGTAATCGGTGGTTTCGTTTGCTTTCCTTCTCTTTTATAGACCACCTCCCACCTCTAGTATTCATGAACTGAACGCTTTTCCACACCTATTTTATCCCGAATCTTGCCTTTAATGATCATTGTGTGGGGCTCATACAAAGTGGACAGAGCCAAGATCAAATATTACGCCGCCCTTCTTCATGTCGTTTTAGTCAGTATCATGCACGCGTATATTCGAGGATCAAAAATATATATGTACCTCTCTAAGGAACGCGAGCACTCTTATGTACAAATGCGATTTAAATTCGAGCGCAAATAATGACAACAGACTTGGAATGGTAATGAAAAGAACGCTCACAGGTTTCGGCGTCGGCTCAGCTGCTGTAAGCGTGCCCTCGTCCTGCAAGGAGAAAACCATAAATGGATTGACCAGCTCTCGTTTTGCGGTTCTTGTACGCCATACAGCGACGTGGAAGAACCACCTAAGACAAACGAAAACATAGCCTCACAGGTTTCGGAGTCGGCTCAGCTGCTGTATTCGTACCCTCGTCCTGCAAAAGTGCCACTAGAACGACAGCTTCCAGTTTTATGGACTTTAAGATCTTGTTAACGTCACACAACAATGTTGTGAACACTCAGCCATGAAGAAATCAAGAACTATGCTATCTCATGAAATGTTCTACTCACAGGTTTTGGAGTCGGCTCTGCTGCCGTCAATGTACCTTCGTCCTGCAAAATGAAATGAGTAGAACCTTGAAAGCAATAAAAGGCTCTCATCCCCGTAGACTTTTCTATAGTCTGACCCAGATCACCAGGACAACCCGGCCACTTGGAATGAGGTGTACATTTCCATACAAGTCTTAAGGAACTAGGATCAAGTGTTCTGCTGGACCCTCCTTTGAAAGAATTTATAAAGCAGAAAATCGTAGCGCCAAAGCATAGGTCTGTACTCATAGGCAAGAGGTCGTAGAATAGGCACCTCGGCAGACTTGCTGTTTTTTCCGGTCATCAGCTGAAAGACCGTTGGTTCGACAGTGCTTGGGTAACTTACCTTACTTGTACAAAGATATACGAGAGCAGTTTCTCACAAAATTAAATATTACTTGCCATGAGTAGGCATGGCGCCGGCGAGTTTTCGCTTCGAACAAGTGTGATCCTCTCAATCACGGGGAAAAGTACCCCTTGGGCAAATATCTGACCAATTCTAAAATTTTGATCTAATTTTGAATCGGGCGATCGCTTATCCATTAATAGTCCCACCACCGGAGGCTGGTATTGGGATGGGATCAACTTCCTGAGCTTACTTCAGAAAAGGCGAGGTTAGCGTTGAGCTCATCCGTTTGTTTCATCTCAGAATCCATGAGGTATTATTCTTGAACACATCCCCTCCTTCTTATACCACCGCCCGTGGGCAACTTCAAGTACCAAATCGCTCATGATCCCCATGGCTGCCCTCGTTTTCTTAACTAGGTCGGAATCAGGAGGTCTCAACCTTTGGCTAGGAATTGTCTCATAATTTGACTACTTGAACATGGATGTGGCACCCATTTGCCATGGAACGCTATGGGTACCTTGGGCACTTATAGCCAAGTAGTGCTAGAACTTGAGAGGAATTGCTTATGCCTTCAATGCAACAGCATGCGACCATTGTTAAAGTAACGTGATCACAAGTCCATTCTGGTATATATTAGGTTGTGCAGGAAGTACTGCGAGTTTTCGACTCCACCTCCGACTCCACCTTAGATGAATATGCTCAAATCCTGCTTTAGCGTATTCGATTTAACCTCAAAAAGAGCGCAAACGGAAAACGATGTGCAAAAAATGGCATGAAATTCCCTGGGAAATAACTTATAAAAACTACTAAATGACTTGTAATGAAAACGTCAACAGACGATTAACAAGCTCCGATCCCTGCATCTCATTTCCTTGACAATTTGTTTTTCTTTCATGACAACAGGGGAAAACATAAATATGTAGAAATGAAGAAATATGAGATATTTAAAAACCATACTCACAGGTTTCGGGGTTGGTTCAGCTGCAGTACGTGTGCCCTCGTCCTGCAAAAGCAAAAACAATACTAACAAACTTCATTTCCACGGCCCTTATACTTCATGTGAATGGAGAAGTAAATACAGCATTAGACGATAAACGAAACAATTGTCTCACAGGTTTCGGAGTCGGCTCAGCTGCTGTATTGGTGCCCTCATCCTAAAGAAAGTCATTTAAGGATTGATATAAATAGCTTTCCGCCAGTCTCATTGCGGCTTGTCGTGTGCACGTTAGGATGGAAAAAGCACGATTAAAAATGGAAATCCAGATCAAGCTTGCTTACAGGCTTGGGAGTCGGCTCAGCTGCTGTATTGGTGCCCTCATCCTAAAGAAAGTCATTTAAGGATTGATATAAATAGCTTTCCGCCAGTCTCATTGCGGCTTGTCGTTGTGCACGTTAGGATGGAAAAAGCACGATTATAAAATGCAAATCCAGATCAAGCTTGCTTACAGGTTTGGGAGTCGGCTCAGCTGCTGTATTGGTGCCCTCGTCCTGATAAGAACTTCAGCGTGGAAAGCTTTTGCCTCCATAGTAGTTTTCTACAGTTTAACCCAATGGCGACGTTGCCGCTTAATGTGAGGACGCACTCTTTTTTGCCGTGTGGGACAATGCGACTCGATGTGGGGACGCAGCGCAGGGGTAATTTTTTTCTGCGCAGGGTTTCCAAATTTGTTTTAGTGGCATATTAGTCAGAAGGAGTTGTAGTGCATATGGTAATCACCAGCCCTTATCAAAATTCCTTCCCAAGTCAAACGAAATTTGCGAAACTTGCTTGCTAGCTCCCTTATCAGCTCTTATTATTCGTTATCAATGTATCAGCCTCAGCCATTTGGTGCCGCTATCGTAGATAAGTGTTTATAGGACTACGAGATGCTATTCACATTCGCTTGTGGCTCTTGTTACGAATTTCCGATCAAACACCCCGAGTCGTCCACAACACCCAACAGAACATGGAGAGTGCGTTAGCCGATTATATATAGTAGAATTACTTGCATACCTTTCCCAATTGTTACCAAATAAAGGGGGTCTTGAAAGTGATTTTTCAATGAAGATTGCTATTTTCCAATGTATAGGGCTGTATTTTTGTTTTCAGCTAGAATAGGGATACAATTTTCAGGAGAGATCTGGACCCGACCCGCTTACGATTTAGAATAAAATGAAGCGTTTCTATTTTGCAGCAGATCGCACAATGATAGTACAGTAAGTCTCAAGCGTTCTGCTTCGAATTATCATATTTTTGGTCAGCCGGGATTGCCATCTGGCTGGCTTGCTGCATTATGAGCATTTTCGAACATTTTGAAAAAAGGTGTGGTACCACACACACCACCACACACACCACCACACACACCCCCACACCCACACCACACACCCCACCCCCACACCCCCCCACCCCCCCCACAAACACACCACAAACCAACCCACACAACCACACCACCCACACACCCAAACACCACCCCCAAATATAATAACCCAGCACACACCACAAACCCCACGACCCACCTGACCACGAGCAAACCAACTAGACAACCCCCCCACACACACAAACCAAACAACCAAACACAACAAACCACCCCCCACCAACCCAACCCCACCCCACCCCCCTACCCCAACACCCGCCAAGCCCCGAAGAGCCGCCCTACAACCCAAATAGCCCCACTCCCCACTCACCCCACCCCACCCCTACACACACCACTCTCCCATCTCCCCCCAGAGACTCCCCCACTCCACCACCTCCTCCATCACACCGGTCTCGCCCCCCTTACGCCCGGCCCCACCCCCCCTCCGCCTCCTACCCCGTGCAGCCAACGAGTATCCCCCCCCCCCCCCCCCCCCCCCCCCCCCCCCCCCCCCCCCCCCCCCCCCCCCCCCCCCCCCCCCCCCCCCCCCCCCCCCCCCCCCCCCCCCCCCCCCCCCCCCCCCCCCCCCCCCCCCCCCCCCCCCCCCCCCCCCCCCCCCCCCCCCCCCCCCCCCCCCCCCCCCCCCCCCCCACCCCCCCCCCCCCCCCCCCCCCCCCCCCCCCCACCACACACACACACACACACACACACAGTGATTGGAGAATGAGCCATCGGCCCACGACAAGAGTATAAATTAAGCATGATACAGAACACACCCCAACAACAAAAACCAAACACCCACACAACACAACAACACACACACGACAATCAGAACAACCACTCACTACACACACACACACACACCCTCTCCCCGAGAGAGAAGAGAGTCGGCTCAGGCCGAAAAAACAATGTTGTAGTGCCCCCAACCACACACAACACACACAAATAACATCCCAACACAACAAACAACCACAAACCAAAACCACAAAAACATAGCAAAAAGAACACAAAACACATCACAAGAATTGGTTGGTCATTTCCATGAACATCAAGAGTTGCTTGGTGACAAAACAGACTGTGTGCCAAACACAAAACCAACCACCACAAACACAACAAGAACAAAACTCAACACACAACACACACACACACACACCACACACACACACACACACACACACACACACACACACACACCACACACACACAACACACACAACAAAACAAAAAAAAAAAAAAAAAAAAAAAAAAAAAAAAAAAAAAAAAAAAAAAAAAAAAAAAAAAAAAAAAAAAAAAAAAAAAAAAAAAAAAAAAAAAAAAAAAAAAAAAAAAAAAAAAAAAAAAAAAAAAAAAAAAAAAAAAAAAAAAAAAAAAAAAAAAAAAAAAAAAAAAATGAATATAAAAAAATTTTCCAATAAAGATCTTGGGGTTCGAGTTCTGTTACGTGGTCTTCGTCCTATAATGAGAAGATCTCTAAACCACAGCTCATGTTTCTGGCTCCTCGATTTCTTTAATCAGCCACACAAAAACGTGGGGTATGGGGTAGATAAGCATTACCATCAAAACACAACACACCCCTACCTGCCTTCTATCGATCTAAGTCTGAGTGCAGACGCGTGTCATCAAGTTCTAATACCCAAATACTCCCAACCCATAAACCGAAGGAGCGCAGACAAGCACATAGAGAGATGAAGTACTGTACTCAAGAGAACTTTGTTTTCATGATATAGAATGCCGCAAGAAAAGTAAACCAAGACCTATCCCGCTCCCACGCAAGGCACCCCCCAACCTCCTGCACCTCACCCCCACCACACCCGGCGCCCACCTCACTCAAACCCCTGCCCGCCCAACACCCTCTCCACCTCACCACCTCACCACCTCCACTCGCTCGACTACCCCCCACACCACCCCACTAACCCACCCACGCCTACCTCCAACAACCCTCAACCAGCACACGCCTGCCCCAGGCCCGCGCCCGCCCCCCCCGCGCCCCCCCCCCCCCCCTCCCCCGCCCCCGGCCGCAAACAAATGCCCAACAATATGCAGTTCAGGCGGATAGAGAATCTGCATTCATGACCTATGTCAGCTTAGATGGTAGGGTAGATAGCAAATAGCAGAAATTAGCATCAGCTCATAAGAGGCACTGAGGGGGGAGGTTGGTGCCATAAACAAAATTGAGGTACAACCTTTGCCAATATTATACAACTCCAACACGACCTAATTATGAAATTGTTAAGATGGGTAGGTTGACGATGAGTGACAAAAGATGAATTCAGTAGCAGGAAAGGCTGATAAGAGCCAAATGAAGGAGAACACAGCCAAATTTCCGCACCACCGTCTACAAGCTTTTAAGATTATATAGAAACTTCATTACCCCACTTCGAGGGACGAGCGATAGGAAATGGAAACTATTAGGTTGGGCGATAAGAAAAGTCGTTTTTAGTTACCAATAAAGTTCCCTGTAAGAACAACAAGCACATGAACCTGTGCTGTGTACTCCACATTGTTCAGTGGATTTTTTTTCCTCTTCTGTGCAAGAAGTGGATGAAAAGTGTTCTTTGTAGAACTGTCTCGGGTGCGACTCGAAGAAGTTGGACTCCAAAGTTTCAGGGGTGACGTTTTTAAACTTATTAGTTGTGCAGTGCTGGCCAGTGTGATTGGTAATCTGCAAGCAGGCACCAAGTTTGTTCCAATTGGCATACGGAGCAGAGCTTCCATTTCCTATTCTTCAACTCCTTTTTGGATTATTTCCGCAACATGGGGGTTTTGCGCTCTTGTGCATCAACGTCATATCAAACAGAATGACCTCTTGATGGCGCAGCTCTTTCCAAGCAGGCGAACTGCTATGCGAAGAGTTCAACAGTGACTGCCTAAACACAATCAACACTTCGAACTACACCAACTCCGTACACTCCTGAAATACAAAAACACGACCCTCTGTTTCGTGGAAGACCGATTTTGGAGTTGATCTCAGCTGTACATCTGCTGCTGCAATGGCCATCTTCTCATAGTGCTATCGTGGGAAATCACTTTCTCTTAACGAAGAAAAGACTTTTTTCATGAAGATGCGGGCAGAGTTCCACCTCTGCCAGAGTACACTGTTTGTTCGCTTCATCAAGGAGATGCCGAACACTTTTCTTCACCAACTGGCGTTACTAGTCAATTCGAGAGACCTACAAACCCACGTTCTTATGTAGTTTGGCAATGACTCGTCAACGCCTTCCTTAAGTACTTTGTTATCAACAGCTCAGATCGAAATGCATCTTCCTCGTTCCACGACATTTACCTCAGTCTTGGAAGCGACGAAACCATGGCTGTAACTGCCTCAGAGACTGAGCGTTGCTGTTGAATGTTTTGTACACTATACGAAAGAATCAGTGACCGCTGTTCCTCGCTTGGAGGCGTGCCATATGCCCACAAGCGTTTTGTATTCATAGTGTTCGGACAAATTTTTTTTGGCAAGGAAAGTTATCGTTGCTCGACATTTAACATAGTATCTTGTGTGCGCCAGAAAATGGCCTTTCGAGCAAATCCCACGCATTGTGAGACGTTATGCTTAATTATAGAAACAATGTCACCAAACTGAGCAACTTTATCTTTTCGGCACACCTATCACCTGTATCACCTGTCGTCCCGTTGATCGTCGATTTGCTCGAGCGGGCGCCAGCAACGTCTCCATTCGTCCCTGTCGCGTGCTAGAGTGGTCCAGTGGATCCTCCTCGCTCGAGGGACACGGGTGTCCCCCAACAGGCCCACCGCGCGGCGAAGCAAGAGACGCAGACGCGGCAAAGGGACGAGTCGCAGCGCATACTGTAGCGGTTAGGCGTCAGGTCAAAGAGTGTGTGCACACTAACGAGGGGAGGTCGTTCAGGGCGTGGAGCGCTTTTTGAAAACGGTTTTTTGCATGAAATAGGGGCAGGTGCAGTGAACACAGATCTATGGTCCATTTCCGCTAAATGGCCTTCTGAATGCCAAAAAAGGAGTGAGAATCATTTTGTTGGAAACTGCAGTTTTTACTTGTTAAAAGTGGTGTGTTTCATTCATGGCGTGGACTACTTGCGTAATGGAGGGTCTTCGTAAGGTGTGTCTCGAAAACATCGAGAAGTTTGGTCAAAATTGGAAAGTTGTCGTGGTGATGTCATGCTGTGTACTAAAGAGCGTGTGGAAGTTCCATAAGAGCATTTGGCCAACATCCTCCAGCAGCGTCGGTGGTGTAGTGGTTAGCGATGTGGATTTCGATTGGCACGCTTGGTCTGGGTTGGTGGTTCGGATCCCCGAGGCGTCGGGCTTTTTGCATTTTTTGTAGGCACTTCACGGTTTTCTCCAAATAGCACAGGTGCCAAAATGGATGTGTTATTCAAGACCAGAACTATTGATAACCCAGATTAGGTAAGTTTTCACCGAAAGCAGGCAAAAAAAAGTTGTACCGTTGGAATTTCGCCGGATAGCGGCGGCTCCAAAAAACAATGCCACATTCGTGACAAGAGCACCAATTTACCTCTGGTGCCAACGTTTCGAAGAAAATCATCTTTGGCATCTTTGGCCTAACTTCGAAAACTTGACATAAGTAAATCTTCAAGTATTCCCACTCGCTCGGAGGCGAGCTCCGCACGGAAAACTGGCAGAAAACTACTGCACTGTGGGTGACCCTCCGACCAACACCAGCTTGCTTGTCTGCTATAGTCTATTCGGCAGGAGCATCTCTCATTTTTTGAGGACTATCTAGATGATGTCATTTCCAAGAAGTTCATCGTCGAGCTTTACTTGCCACAGAGTTTACTTATTCATCTAGCAAATTTTCGAAGTCGGGCCAAAATCTTGATTTTCTTAGAAACATCGACTAGAAGGGTTATCAGGTGCCCTGATTATGAATACAATATTCGTTTGTAGCTCCGACATCATTTCGGGCCCCTATGACGTTCTTCGACGGCACCTTGGTGAAGTTTTTGCGTCACAACTTTCTCTCACCAGTTTTTGGTAAAAGCCCACTTGTAAGGGTTTTTGTAAGCCTAATTGTAATTATGACATCAATTGCTGGTGTTGGCGTTCTTCGGTGCCAATTTTGTGGCGTCAAATCACAGTGCAAAAATTTTGTCACCGCGGGGAATCGAACCAAGGGACCACTTTCCCACCCTTTTTTGGCATTCAGTGGGCCATTTAGCGGAAATGGACCACAGTTCTGTATTCCAGGCACATCCCTCTATATCATAGGAAAAACCATTTTGAGAAAGCGCTCCACGCCCTGAACGACCTCCCCTCGTACGTCTCATATCGCACAGCACGCGCTGCAACTCGTCTCTTTGCCGCATCTGCGTCTCTTGCTTCGCCGCGCGGTGGGCCTGTTGGGGGACACCCGAGAGACACAAAGCCGTTCATTCCTTCATTCCTTTCGTTCAGAGCTTTCGTGAAGAAGTCTGACCATCGGGCCGGCGGTCGTCCAGGTGTTCGTTTGACGTCCCGAGGGATCCAGTCGGTAACCGCTCTGGTCCAACGGTCATCGCAAAATCGCATGACGTGTCCGGCCCACCTTATATAACTTAATCCTATTGCTACCTTTCGAGTGTAACATTAGTCGGCACCACTCGGAACTGTGCAGTGTTGCAAAAGCTTGGCTACTTCAAAGTGCTGCAGCGGATGCAAAGGTGGCCACTGGGAACACCTTGCGCCTCGTCTTCCTTGCGCTCGGTTGCAAATACGCTCCTAAGCAATTGGCCACGCCCCTTGCGGTCGAGGCCAGCTGTTAGTCGCCCATGATCCGACAGTGTCGGTGCCCACGGCTAATTTTCGGTGGCGGTCGGTGTTCACCGATAACGTGATGAGGCCAGAACAAGGCGAAGAGGACTGTCTTCTCAAGGCCCGAGCTGGTGGAGCGCCGTCGTGCCATCGTCGGTCGTGTCGTTCCCCTGCGCCTTACCTGGGATCAGCCCCTACAACCAGCGACTAGAAAACGTGACCGCATGGAGCCCTCGGAACAGCGAGCACCACTTCTGCATGAGGTGACCTTCGAGACTGATGGAAGTGGTGAGTTAATACATTAATGAACATGTATTAATTACTTGTTGCATTTGTGTTGATGTGGTTATACTCTAGTTCATAACAGGCTGTTGTCATAGTGGTATGAAGTACTGCACACCTGGTCAGCCAGCCGCTCACTGGTCGGTAGGTTGAGCTGCCGGGTAGCGCCCCTTCTGTCCCCGAGGCTGATGGGTCTGCTCCTCCTGCGGAGTGCGCGGGATGGGGGTAGGTCTCATGGGAAGCCCTGGGTGGTTGGGACATCGAGAGGCGGGCTCACGCTTGCAACAAATGCCTATGCCCCATGATGTATAGAGATATTTCGGCGAAGAATACAAAAGAAGAGAATACAAGGCGGATAGATGCATGCGTTATCAATTGAACTGAAACATCAGCGAAGATTGGTAAGCGGGATCGTTCGAAACTAAACTGGTCAAGAAATGAAGAAGTAGGATATGTGTATAATTTTCCTTACAGGTTTCGGAGTCGGTTCGGCAGCTGTCAGCGTACCCTCGTCCTACAAAAGCATTATTTCATTATTAGATCATCCTAATTCACACATATTTGGTCGGATTAGTCAGGAGCGAGTCCCGCCTACATGGAGCGGGAATAGTAATGAAACTCACAGGTTTCGGAGTCGGCTCAGCAGCTGTCAAAGTACCCTCATCCTACAAAAGAGCATCATTTTTAGTTGAAAGAAATACCATTCCAGCCATAACTACTAATACTCGTCGGGAGCGAGCTTTTCCTACAGATATGGAGCGGCAATTGTAATGAAACTCACAGGCTTAGGAGTCGGCTCAGCTGCTGTATTCGTACCCTCGTCCTGCAAAGAAGATAAGTAATGGATTGACTGGCTATAATTTCTACGGCCCTTATATGCAGTACTATGGACAAAGCGCAACAAATAATAGGAGTCAAACAAAAATAGTGGGCTCACAGGCTTTGGAGTCGGCTCAGCTGCTGTATTCGTGCCCTCGTCCTGCAAAAGCAAAAACAACATTAACCAAGTTTCATTTCTACGGCCCTTATACTTCGCACTAAATTGGTATGCACTTAAATGGGGGAAGGAAACCCAATACTAGGTGATAAACGAAACAATTGTCTCACAGGTTTCGGAGTCGGCTCAGCTGCTGTTGTAGTACCCTCATCCTAAAGAAGAATGTCAAAAAAGGATCTATTTGCTTTCTTGGTGAGGCTCCCTCGCAGCTTTATGTGCACACATATATAAGGATGGAAAACATGACTAAATATGGAATGCTAGCTAAAAACTGGCTTACAGGTTTGGGAGTCGGCTCCGCTGCTGTTAACGTGCCCTCATCCTGTAATGAGAACGTCAATAGACGATTGACAAGCTTTGATCCCTGCATCTCATTTTCCTTCATAACTTGATTTCCATGGGAAAAACATAAATATGTTTACAAATGAATAATTATAAGATATTTGAAAATCACACTCACAGGTTTCGGGGTTGGTTCAGCTGCCGTACGTGTTCCCTCGTCCTATAAAAAGAAGGCCACTAAAATGCTGAATGTCTATAGCAAATTTTTTCGTTTGCAGTCATAGTGAGCCATCTCGCTACTCGATTTACAAAAATCTCCCATAATTGCTGACCGATGCATTGGCCCGAGACGCAAATTGTAACAAACAGAGATTGAAATAAAGCCGAATATCTGTCTTAGGTTTCCCATCTAAGGACAACAATAGGACTAACCAATATGAAGCGGTCAGATCACATCCTAAATGTCTTTTGGCCTCACTTCACACTCAGTCAAGCTAGCTGTTCGGAAATCACGTCTTACCGGACTGACGAAAGGAAGCGCATCAGGCAGCCTCAAATGATGCTGCACGCCAATAATAGGGCAACCCCTGAGCAGGATGTGAGGTTTAGAACATGCGTGCACACTGCAGGAAAAGAACGCCTCGCGCAAATCGCTTTCGAACCGCGAGAGCTGCACGGAAATAGCGCGTGCTCACCACGCAGCTCCGCCGAATGAATTGTGGATTCATGTTATCACGGGTAGCCCCACCAAGAACGTCATTTAACCAGCACTACGGTCATCAAGAAGTCACGTTAAAAACCCAAATCAACCATATGAAATAATCTCGGAACCGTATCCTTACAGGCTTCGGAGTTGGTTCAGCCGCAGTCGTCGTGCCCTCGTCCTGTAAAAAGAATGTCGCTAGCGGACTGAGCACCTTTCATATTTAAGGTCAGTTTCTAGAGAATATAATGTTATGGAGAAAATGATGAAGAAAACGTCGTCTACCGGTTTCGGGGTCGGCTCATGAGCTGTCGTTGTACCTTCATCCTATGAAGAACACATATGGCAAAGACGACTACTCGTCATAATGACTACTTGGTGAAACAAAAAAAGCTTACTGGTCTTGGAGTCCGGCTCATGAGCTGTCGTTGTACCTTCATCCTATGAAGAACACATATGGCAAAGACGACCTACTGTCATAATGACTACTTGGTGAAACAAAAAAAGCTTACTGGTCTTGGAGTCGGCTCATGAGCTGTCGTTGATACCTTCATCCTATAAAAAGGAAAATGACGAAAGAAGGGCGATCTCTGCGCCCCCGCCGCTACCCCGCGATGTCACCGGCGTATACCGGCCAACCAGCCCATACGCCGCAACGGAGCCTCACACGGCCGCAAAATGCCTGCGCAATAACGAAGTTGTACTCCCGCCTATAGTTTTAAGGATAGTCAGTCCATTAGCACTCATGCTGGCGCTGCGGCTGCCTTCGTCCATAGGGCAATGGCGAGACCGGCTGCCCAAAGTGAGGAGAAAAGGGCTCCCGAGCCTTAGGGTGACAGAGTGCCTGCCATAAGTCAACCACCTTCTCTCACCTGCTCTCCCTCTGGAGCAGCCTGGTTGGGGCCCCTCTTAGACGTTGCTGGTCGTGTGGAGCTCACGGGGTTTATGCCTGTGAGCCAGCACGCGGCATAATATGCGGACAACCGCGAAACTGACTACGTGCGAATGAGAACCACCTGACCATGGGTTCACGACCTGGGCTGGCGCCATATTATAATAAGCAATATAACATTACTTCTGTGTTCATGCAGAGCATGGCACATACCCCTTTCCAATCTGTTGTGGTAGTATGGGAATACATGGATATATGATATGACTATTGCATGCAAGGTTGCGGTGGGGAGCCAGCGTGGCTTGAAGAGGAGTTCTTGTATGGCCACGGCGGCTAGGATCCCCATGTTTTCGTAAGGTTAGGCCCGTCTCGCCTGCGAGGGTAGCAATGTGCTTTGAGTGCAAGACACACGATGCTAACGCTGCGATAGTGCAATCCGCGACAAGCACTACAGTCCATCTTTACTATTTGAAAATTAGTGGAAGAATTTCACTCACAGGTTTGGGAGTCGGCTCACAACCCGTCTTTGTGCCTTCATCCTATAATTGGAGTACGATGACAACCTTCCACTTTTTAATGCAGTCAGTCGTGACAGGACAACGAGAAGCAAAGAGACGAGGAGGGTTATAAAGTGAGTAATGCGTAAACGATGGACATAAACGCACCGGTCTGGGAGTTGGCAGTGCTGCCGTGTTCGTGCCCTCGTCCTACAAAGAGATGTATGGCCACAACTCACTTTTTCCTTATCGTTAAGCAGTGAGACTGCTCACATAATCCCCTTGGCATAATCTGGGTGATTACTTCGCACATTAATGACATATAAATTTTGGAGAGCGTGTCAAGGAACATGATTACTGATAATAATTTATTTTGATACCTATAACGCATTTTCAACAATAAAGCACAGCACCTTGATAAATAGTGGGCGTGTAGTAATTCCTAGCAGGTAAGAGCCTATCGCAACGGCCAGCTCGCCTTGCTGTATGCAGCTCCTCGTAAACCAAAGTATGACAATTAAGTACTATCAGTACATAAAACTTTCCCTAAAGCAACCAATGGTCTTATCAAATCATCAAATTAAGCGTCTCATTCAGTGACCGTTGGTGAATCCTGTCCGACACAGAAGTGGCTATGAAAACGTCACACTGTGCATGATCACTAACTTATAAAGCATGAAATACAATTACTCACAGCGGTTTCCGTTCCTTGCGAGGTGCATGCCTGATATAATGCATATATGCGAAATTTGGTTGTTGATTTAAAATCAAACATACTCTCATCGAACACTAGGGTAGACCAATTCCGCCCACACATCCAAGGCGTCAGTAAAGCGTATCAATCAGAAGGAGACAGTTATTACGATTTTCAATTTTTTTGTTCACTTAGTACTAGTACTACCGTACTGTTATACTTGAAAAGAATAAAACGATACACCTCAGGTGGCGCTTACAAAGCCTAATGTACGCATAAGCTTCCCTCCTGCAGGATACATAAGGAACCAAATGCTTTGTTTGTTTAGATACGATCATCGTAACAAGGCCGTTAGATGAGTCCATAATCAAGGAGGAATGTCCTCGGCTCATCCATCCTATGTTCACCCTTAGTATGAACCCTGTACTGTGTTGCAGATGTCCTACTTACACTCTCACGTGCCAGCGCATGTGCCATCAAGCTGAAGGTTAGGTCGATGCTCCAGTATAAGTGGAGTAGGCCACAGTGAATTATCATGTTCAACTGAGAGCGCCTTTCCAGACTTTTAAACTCATCATGCATCCTCACTTACTTCGCTTAGGCTTACCTAATACCAGAATGCAACTGCGTCTTTCAAAAAGGGTAGCTCTTAGCCGGTCTTATCAACACCTGTTCGTGTATTTTTACATCGATGACCTACCTCAACGACCCTTCGGATCACTCGTTTCTCCACTATTTCTCTCTCAATTGTGGCACGTAGTTTTCCTGTTTTTCTTCTCTGTAAAACATTCAAGTTTTGTATGAAACTAAATCATGAACCGTTCTCATTCCTGATGAGTGCATCAACTGCTAGTTCGTTTTCACGAAATGATATCAAAGAAGCTTCGACGGAACGTTCGTGAAGTGTTGTGTAATAATATTGTTTACTTGCTGCATAAATAAAGAGCTGGGCTCTCTATCAAGACTTACATGTTTTGGAGGGCCTTCTACGGCAGTTGTGGTGCCTTCATCCTACAAGAAGATATTCTCAGTTCCATAACGAAGACTATGTATGAGACAGGCGATCTTGAAATCTTGTAGCGAAGGTGCTACCCAAAAAGTAACATCTCACTCGAACGAGAACTGCGGACACGCCAGAATGTGCCTTACCACGAAAGATGTCAGGTGTAAGCGGCCATATTTTATGAGACATATGTCATGCTGTATATTTAATTTTGGAGAGGAGGAGGAAATTTGCAGACGAATCATCAGCAAACCTAATGGATCGAGTTTGACAACGGAAGGAAGGTCAATTGCTATTGGCGGGCGTGGCGTGCGCGGAAGTGGGTGAAGTTTGCCACTAAGCTTACATCTTGGTTCCAGGAGCCGGGCGGAGTTCGCTACGAGACTGCAGTTTGGTCAAATACAGTACAGAGACCGGGAAGAACTTAATCGAGATCGGCAAAGGAAAAGTGGCAACTGCTATTGGTGAGCGGAGCACAAGCGTGGGTAGGCAGAGCTACCCTTGAAGACGCAATGTAATCCAGTGATACCACGGAGATCGAGAAGAAAGCGTATGGGTCTAGCGCGCGATAGCGACGGGGCTTGGATGGAATTAGAATAATCAGATTCGATGTACTTCTGTATTTCTCAGGTTTCGAGAAAAGGGGTTTGCTCCAATACCAAGAACACTGTGTGAAAACATAGGAACCGGCTCCCTGAGCTGGATTTCTTGAAGAAAAGATTTTTTGTAGACACGGTCCCAGTAATGCAAGCCGCATCGACGGATGGTACAATATTCACAAATCGTGGGCTCGGATGTATCATGATTTTGTAGCGCACTGGATAATTTGCGTGTGAATGCTTTGTGAGGAGCTTAAAAAATCGAAAAAAAGCCAGATACTAGCAGCGGCTTACAAGCCCAAACTCGGTCCTGACTAGGAAAGACCATCAGATTAACGGCCAAATAGAATAAGGTGTACTCTTCTATGCGCAACTTGAGACGCTGAGCTCAAATCTGCTTTCATTATCTGCTGAACTCTTTCTGAAAGGAGTTATGAAGGGTTTTTGTTGCCGCCCTCACTTTTCAGTGTCTTGCCTGCGATCACGAGTAGGCTCCACTTTAAACGTCACGAAGAACTAGCGTAGTGAGTTCCGGTGGCAGCCGGTAGCGCTCTTGGTTCTACAATAGGGGGCTGAGTTTGGTCCTCTTTTGGAGGATTGGCGTTTCGTAGTGAGTTCCGGTGGCAGCCGGTAGCGCTCTTGGTTCTACGATAGGGGGCTGAGTTTGGTCCTCTTTTGGAGGATTGGCGTTTTGATGTTCTTTCAACTAACCTTTTGAATACGTATTTTATCAACACACGCCTGAAGCTATCTATTAAGATTTTGCGAGCAGCTCTCCTTACGTTTTAGCTTAACCTGCCTATGAGTGCAGGTGATACCCATAGTGCAGGTACCAAGCTTTTCCATGGCCAGTAGGTATGACATTCGTGTTCGTAGGATCAAACTGCCCATACTATCGAGTTCCCTAGCCAAACATCCTGAGATCATAACCTAGTCGAGGAAAGAGGGACAGTGATGGGATTACCACTCGCAACTACTTCGATTTCAGGACGGACTGATCATGGACGAGGGAGAGAGTCCGCTACGCTTCTCTTCCTCCACATTTCCTCTCGAATAAGAGTTGAGGTAAACAGATTTGAGCTCAGCGTTGCAAGTCGCGAATAGACATATACATCTCGTTTCAATTAGTTGGGTCGACCTGGTGATATTTCTTGGTGAGTCAATACCATGAAACCAATGGACTCTACAGTAGGAGAAAAAGGAAGAACTTCGCCTTACAGGTCTCGGAGTAGGCAAGCACGCAGTCCTTGTACCTTCGTTCCTGAAACAACACTTTGATCTTTTCTCACAAATCTGTGAAGCCTCCACAGCGAGGTCGTAACAGTAACTAAACATGAAAAACCAAAGCAGTTTAGCCTTACAGGCTTCGGTGTTGGTTCAGCCGCAGTATATGTGCCTTCATCCTGCAAGTAGCACATGTTAATGCCTAAAGATTTCAAATCTATAGCTCAGCTGTAGTTCGACTTGGAATACACAAGACGATAGTGAAGTCAGTCACTTTAGAAGGATGATAACAACTAAGCCTCACAGGTCGCGGAGTTGGAAGAACGGCAGTCGTCGTGCCCTTCATCCTATAAACAGAACATTAGAGGCCTTCCGAAACCGCGATTCACTGAAGTTCAAGACTAAAATCGGTCAGAAGGAAGGGAGATAGAGCTTGAATGGAGAACTCCACACAATAGGGGAGTAGGACATGCCGTCGGAAATTCACCATCCCTGGACATGGATGTTGGTTAATAATACAGATTTGCTGTTATGGCGTAGTGGGACAAACTCGTTAATAAAACGTAGCAAAATCTGTTAATCGACGTTACAAACGTTAGCTGAAGAAGCGTCATCTCGATAAGATAAAGCGACATTCATTTTCCCTTTCCCCTCTGAGCAACCCCCCTCCCCCACCCCATAGCCACGCCTCCTTCGTACCAAGGCCTAAAATGAGCGTAATGTCGCATGATGAATGCTTGTGGCATACCTGGTGGATTCCGATGCACTAGCAAGCGCATCAGGGCGGAAAATGCGGGTTTAGGTCTCAATACACTGCCTCTCGCATAGCAGGCTCTCTACCCTCCCCGGGGTTTGTTGCTGCTCACGCCTTATTGTTAGCGCGAGCGCTCCTTTACTCAGTACCGTTTGCTCCTCAACAGTGCGCGCTTGAAAGTATGACCGAGTTGTAATCAAATATAATAGTAGCTTTAACGAGAGTTTCGCTTACAGGTCTTGGAGTTGGCTCGCAACCAGTCCGTGTCCCTTCATCCTATAAGAAGAAAAACATTCAATATGACGACCAAACTTTTCCAAGGATGCTATTCGATGACCCAAGAGCGTCCTGCAGTAAACCTTGAAACCTGCTGGATCCACATATTCTGGCTCTTTTTGAGTCTAGCCAAAGGGCACCAGAAACACTGCGCCTTCTGGTCAGTACGAGTCATTGTTACCTGCCAGTTATCGCGCAAGTAGGATTTTGCCCTGCAATTCCGCAAAAAAAAACATAAAGATTTTGTCACGAAATGACCAAAAAGTAGATATAGATACATACATAGACATAAGTACACCCCAGGAGCTCTCCAGGAGCTTTTCAGTTTTGATACGGAAATTCAGAAATGTTACGGCAACTGCGCACTCACGATACTTCTTTGTTTTTATTAGCATATGTTTTTTATGTACTGCAGCACTCATCGATTTCTACGCCATTATAAAACGCCTTCATAAACGAGTAAGGAGCTGATGAAGTTGTTTCTCAATCCTCAGGCTATCTTTGATTCACAAAGAAACACACGGTCATACCAACTTTTTTCGGAGTCGACACGACATCTTTTGATCTTAAATCGAAGAACTACGATGAAAAGCCTGTGCGGCATGAAAGTACATGCGCAGTAGTAAGGGGCCAGAGGAAGCAGGATTTACCTTCTCGCGGCCTAAGGTGAGCTAGTTGCAGGGCACTGTACTTGCCTATCACTTCTTAGCTCCACCTCCGTCAATGCCCAATCTCTTGATGTGTTGCCAGCAGCATCACAGTTCGATTATCATTTTGAAAGGGTATTCCAATTCGAGCGCCAATCTATAACTTTGATATGGAATCCGAACTTTGATATTTATCAATCCAAGCATGGTATCCGTCGGCATAATGGTGCCCATCAGTATACCATGTGCGAAACGACCCCTTAGCTGGTTGCGTCTCTCTATCATCAGAGGTCGAACGGGCAAAGAAAGGGGTCTCCATTTTGCGCCTTCATTGACGGATTTCTTTGCTTTATTTCGCCACTGGTGTACCACTGTGTATTCAGCATTCCCACTTCCACTATGAACCTAATCCAATCTTATCGTAATCCATCGCTTTAAGATCATTTGGCTTCCTCCGTGATGAGCAGACGAGATGTGAAAAGACGACAGAGCGGGGTGAGCTTCCTCCGTACATCCTTAAGAGTCTTGCTGAATCAGAGCTTGGCGCTTTTCTTTCGTTTCAACAATTCTGCTTGCGGTCTGCTACACGGTCGAGACATGAGTGAGCAGAGGTTTCGCGTCAACGGCCTCACATGCACAACGGAAAACAAGATAGATCCATTATCTCCTCTAATACGAATTTTAGAGGAATTCATTAACGAAACGGACACGATCAACAAAATGATGCACTTTTTAGTGAAGTAAACCAGTAAGCAGTGAAAAAGGAAAAAAGCATCGAACGAAAAGATCTGTCGCGACTCTCGTCACTACTTTTCTTACGGCAAACCCTGCCGGCGATAGTATCCCGGTTCCAATCACCTTCCCTGACGCCTTGGAGGAGGAAAGACTACGCCATCCCGCGGGAGCAGACATTTTCCCACGATTAGAACGCATGCAACAGCCAGAAGTGCGGGAAGTGCTCTGCATCAAATGAAAAGATCTTCTTCTGTTAAGGCGTAGTCACTTGCCCATTTATCAGCAGTCGACGCCAGTCGTTTCGCCAAGCGGATTATACAGGGGTGGCCAAAAAAAAGAGACACTTCACTCAACATTCAAAACGGAATTATTTACGCGTCGCGAAACCAAACCAAATGACCCCAACTGAATATTGAAGAGCACGTTATAATCTATCAACAAGCTACACAACAGCCTTCTACACCGACGACATCAGAAGATTTTCCCACGGAAGCATTGTGCGCGGTACGAGCTCAACGAGGTCGTTGAGAAACCATAGACGATTACGACGTCTCTGAAACGCTGGTCAAAAGCGGTTTTGCACAGTTCACAGCTAATGTCTCTAGGAAGCTATTCAACAATTAATTCACTGAGGAAATTGTGTAGCAGCTTCAGGTCGGAGCGATTACGGTAAGCCTCGTTGAGCTCGACGGTGACGGCAGATGACGTCATATTCTGGAAGACGGCAGGGGCAGTGAAGGAGCCTGCTTCTGTTTACGGGGGAACACCTAAGGAATATTCTGCCGTAAAACTTCATTAACATCGGCTCCCTGTGCGACGAAAAGTTCGATGATGTGCGCCATGGTGTGTCTCTTTTTTTTGGCCACCCCTGTATATTCGAAGTTCAGCCATGGTTGGAGATGTCGTCAACAACATCAACGCCGAGGACGATCTGCACACCTTGCCGCTTACCCTTCCGACATGTCCAGCAGCAGGTATTACCCGTCCGTTCGAACGTTCAATTTGGTCGGAAGGGTCGCAATTTCGAGGACATGCCAGCCACAGGCGCGTGCGTGGCGTATCCGAGGGCAAACTTGCTTGTGCAGACCGCATTAGATTCGATTTATTATGCACAGAGAGACAGTTTTAGGCAAATTACAGTGTTTTCCTTGAGGAATAAAGAACAGTTGAATGCATCCCTATGAAAAGCTTGGCTTCTCACGGGCTGAAAACAAAGTTCTTCGGAGACCTGTTTTTTTTTGGGGACGCTTCTTCCAATGTAACTGTGAAACATGTACGGGAAGCGGAAATCTCGTAGTCTTCACGAATGTCTTTATCCCTCTCCAACAAGCTCCATGAAGGAAGTTATCATTGCTGAAAGCTCAAAAACTCGCATGTGCTGCTCAAAAACCCATGGGAAAAAATGTTCGAACGTGTGATTTCTAGATAAATGACTTGAGAAACGGCTTGGTGCTGGGTAAAAAGATCGTTAGCAATGAATTTCCATTGGACTTCGTATAACTTCGTTATACCATACAAAATAGTGCATCACAGAAATGAAAATGAAGTGAGTTATGGTCGCTGAAAGCCCAAAAACTCGCTTTTGCACGAAAAATGTTCGAACGGGACAATTTTTTGAAAAAGGGGACAATCACTAAACTTTTTATACTGTTTTGTTAGAAAAGTTTCTGAAACTTTTTACAGATTTCCAAAATGTCGCATACGAAAGATATTATGGGCCTTCAAAGTTGAAGGTGCGCCTTCTTAGAATTTTGGGTTTTCCACTTCTAACAGAAGTACTTTCCGGAGAGTTAGGCAATCCTTGTAGTTTTCTGAAAGCGCACCTCAGGCACAGTCAAAATCTACCTCAACAAGTCAAAAAAGTACGTCCCAAGAAAGTTATTCCCCTCTAAAATTTTTTCTTCGCCGCGTCCCGTTCTTCCAGCGCCCGGGTGATACCTGCCGCGCTCCAAGGCTGACGCCGCAACGCAGACGCTTTCTGCGGCGGCGGCGCAGACGCTTTCTGGCGCTTCGCCACCGATGCCCTTCTTCCACCTCACCTCGGAAGCAGCCGTGCGCGACAAGTTCTTTTCCTTCCAAAAGCTATGACGAAGAGAAAATGAGCGTCGAAGCAAAGGAAGGCGAAAAAAGATATCAAAGATCAGCGATACGAGATCTTGCAGAGTAGAAATAGTAACGGTCGGAAGTGTTCACCAGATCGCTTCTTTGTGCATTAGTTTTTCTATCAGAATGAGATAGGTATCTTCTCTTCAGAGCATCTTGAGTCTCGAAGATTCAAAGAGACGGAATGAACCAGATATAAAAAAATTTGATTCCGGTTCTTCTATAAATTATCTCAATCGCTTGAATCCCGCCAAATCTTTATAATACGCACAGAAAGAATTAATATCACCTAAGGGATTGTGGAATGTGTATCCGAAACAATAGAGCCCTCGAACGATGTCTCATGAACATCAAAGATGGCATCGAGTTCCGAATTTTTGATCTACGTCGATTGTTCCGCTTCCGCGATCTCGTGAAATAAATAGCGATCACCAGTAACTATGGCCGTACAACACGTAGAAAGAAGCAAAGGTGAGTGCGACTCGGTAGAGTAATAATGGCCAGGAAGTCGTAAAGAGCGTGGAGCACTGGCCACCCAGAAGGCTGCAAGCGCGGGTGAATGATTTTCAAAAAAATAACCGTCTTCATCGACTACGGAATAAAGGTACGGAGATGGCGGAGCACAGGAGCAAATGGTTTCCTGCCCTTGCGAAGGCGAGCCGTTAAAGTTGGCAAGACATGAGATGGAAAGAAAAACAAGCCTAATGGTCAATTGTTAGCTCAAATAGATGTCAATAGCCCCTCGTTTTCCAAGAACCATAACAGCTCAACATTTATGCAAAGCTAGTGCATTAGCCAGCTCCTACATGAACAATTGGCTCACGACTTGACTACAGAAAGTAAACGAAGAACACTAGGGAAACAAAAAAAGGACTCGAAT